TGACACTCTGCAGCAAGTGCTTCAGGTCCTCCTCAGTTTCAGCAAGCAGGGTTGTGTCATCTGCATAACGCAGATTGTTGATAGATCTTCCACCAATCTTCACCCCACATTTCTCCTCACAGAGCCCAGCCTCCCAAATAATGTTCTGCATACAGGTTGAAAAGGTATGGAGACAGGACACATCCCTGGCTTACGCCCTTTCCAATTTTGAACCATGCAGTGTTTCCTTGCTCTGTTCTGATGACTGCCTCTTGGTCCAAGTATAGTATGCAATCAAGATGCATTGATAATAATGGGTGACTGGAATGCAAAAGTTGGGAACAGAAAAAAAGATTCAGTAGTTGGAAAACATGGACTCGGTGACAGAAATTGAGCTGGAGAGAGAATGATTGAATTTTACACAATCAATGACTTATTCATTGCAAATACGTTTTTTAAGAGACATAAATGCAGGTTATATACATGGATTTCACCTGATGGTATGCATAGGAATCAGATTGATTACATCTGCGGAAAGAACCACTGGAGAAGCTCAATATCAGCTGTGAAAACTAGGCCAGGAGCTGATTTTGAAACGGACCACCAACTACTCATACGCAAATTCAAGCTGAAGTTGAGGAAAATTAAACCAAATCCACAGCAAAAAATAGACTTTGGGTCTATCCCACCGGAATTTCAGAACCATCTCAGGAACAGGTTTGAGGCCTTGAACACTAATGAGTGAAGACCAGATGAGTTGTGGGAGGATATCAGGGTATCATCCAGGAAGAGTACAAATGGTCATTGCAAAGACAGAAAAGAAAGAGAAGACCAAAATGGATGTCAAAAGAGACTCTGAAAATTGCACTGGAGCACAGAAAAGCTAAAGCAGAAGGAAGAATTCAAGATATTAAAGAGTTGAATAAAAGATTTCAAAAGGAATTACGGGATGACAAAGTAAATTATTACAGTGAAATGTGCAAGGAGTTGAAGTCAGAAAATCAAAAGGGCCAAACTCGCTCAGCATTTCTTAAGTACAAGGAACTGAAGAACAAATTCAAACCTTGAGTTGCTATAATCAAGGATGCTTTGGGCAGAATATTAAATGATCCAGGAAGTATTAAAAGAAGGTGGAAAGAATAGACTGTATCAAAAGGAATTGGCACTGTATCAAAAGGAATTGGCAGACACAGAGGAATTTAATGAAACAACATATGAGCAAGAGCCTATGGTGATGAAGGAAGAAATTCATTTGAAGGAAATAGCAAAAAATAAGGCCTCAGGAATAGATGGTGTACCAGTTGACATATTTCAGCTAACAGATGCTGCCCTGGA